ACCACAATGTAGGCCTACATGCAGCTGCGGTAAACAATGATTTAAGATAAAATTCCCCCATATGTGTAAATTTGCGTCAGGCTCGCTCGCTCCGCAGCAAAAAAGGTCGGGTGTAATACAATTTTCATTTTCCCGAAAAGTAAAGAAAAATATCCAACTCGAAGTTTAACTCGAAGTCCAACTCGAAGTCTAACTCGAACTCGAATCCAACTCGATGTTACCTAACTCCCCCAATAGACTGGTATAAAAACAGCAATATAAAAGATCTTTTGTACGGAAGTTTAAAGTGACAAAATACATTCCTTCCTCCTGTTTCAAGACACCATAGCATTGTGGGACAGCAGTGCCCGCCCATTCGCGGGCTAAAACCCATAGAAATGCCTGAGGAGGAGTGAAAAATACGATCTCTGTCATGATGTGTCTGCGATTTGTATCATTTATGATGTCATAATAGGTGAATATGGTGATATGATGTCATAATAGGTGAATTTTTGGTACAAAAAACAAACGAAAACTAATTTGCAATTCACCTAATGACATCATATCTGGAATCTTTGACAATGAAAAAGTTGATGAAGATGGAATTTTTTGTTATAAAGACACATTACATTTCTTCTTCGAATGACCTAAATATTACACATACAAAAAAAAATCATGTTTGGGGTTAGTCGCACTTTAAACGAACACTTTCGGGACCTCACCAATGTGTCTGGTGAAAAGGAGTGTCTTCTTAATAGGTGTTTGCAACAGCGAACACATCAGGAGTTAACGCGTAAGAAATTTAGGAACAGTAGTAATCAAAGGTAAACATGTCAACGGAGCTCCGTTGCCGGTTATGTTGTGAAAGTTTTCTGACAGTTCAAATTTCAAAGAGACAGTTTTTCTTGTAATTGCTTGAAAGACAAATTAAAGAAAGAAAATTTTGTTCTGTTCTGTACTGTACTGTACTGTACTGTACTGTACTGTACTGTACTGTACTGTACTGTACTGTACTGTACTGTACTGTACTGTACTGTACTGTTCTGTACTGTTTTGTTTTATTTTAGGAGATTATAGTTCAAGTTATTAGCGTTCATATACTGTGCTGCATAAAAATACAGCAAAACATGAATAAGAAATATGTGTCTAGATAGATAGATAGATAGATAGATTTAATAAAATACTTCGCAGCCATAGGCTGAATTGCGTATTTTTTTTTACAAGTAAATTTAACTAATTACGAGA